GTGTACGCGGTGAAGTTGTTGGTGCTATCTTTGGGTGAACGATTCAGTGTTACGGTTTAGGTTCAAAGTGAATGAAGTTGCTTTAGAATTACCGCACAGTCTCGCAATGAATTCCACTGATGGTACGGGCTCTGAAATAATTTCATTTACTGAGAAGTACTCACTTGCCCAGTGTCATACCTTATTTAAATATTATACATGATCTGGGTTGCGAATTCGTTGAAGAAGATTTTAGTGTTATCCGATGATTCATGCAATTATTGTACGCATGGAGACGCATGATAAGACGATATTGAGTGTGGATATCTTTTGGTTATAGTGAATTTCAGTCCTTTTATTAGCACTTCACGCAGTGAAGTTACATCAGAAGCAAAGAATAATTAATTTAGTTACCACGAAAAGCGCACTGGTAGTTACAAGGTCAACAAAAAATATGCTTGGGAGCATTTCACGAATCCAGGATATAATTGATTTGTTCGGACAATTTGAATTACAGAAAGTAAGATGTACTGCGCTGGATGGAATTTCAGGCAGGACAGTGATTTATGCGAACCACCGCATTTCATGATCGCCATTTACGCTGATCCGTGTGAGATTTCCATTTTATGCCAACCTGTTTTCTCAGTCAATGCAACTTTTAAATGGTTGTGATTGGGGTGCGTTTTCCTAACAATAACCACTTGAATCTCATTTGAGCCATTGTCTCCCATCTTATTTTCAGATACTGAAAACGAGTTTATTTCTTACTGTAAGAGTTTTCTGCAGTTTTGTGGAATATCTCCTCTGTCCTTTACAAAATGTATGTTTGATTCTAAATACTGCACCGGAATATCAGTTCCACTTCTGATTATCAGATTTCTAGCCTGCTGTCCATTTTCCAACATGATATATTCTACACGTTTTTTGGTTCCCGTTCACAATGACTTGATACAACATTTTGCGGTGTACGTGTGTGGCGGACCTTAGACTCTGCTGACTTAATATACCAAATTCGAATAGAAATAAAAGTACCAAATCAGTAAAGTTAGTTGAGGAATACATTAAAATTTCTTACTTTGGGTTATCAAAAGGTCCAAATCCACAATTAACATATTAGACTCCAGAAGTATTGTTAGGTTATCCACCTTCTTTGATTTGTCAGTAATTTGATTTAATTTTTGATTACATAATTTTACCACTATTATTGTTAATTATTATTTTGTTATTACTATTATTATTCACATCATCAATGTTTATAAATAACATTCAGTTTCCATACAGATTTTATAAAATGGCTTTATCGTCTTTCCACTAGTTCCTGTCCACTCAACACAATCATATTGAACTATCATTTTCTCCCGCTTAATACTTAATCCAAAATTCTTACTCTTATCTTGCCTTCTCAACCAATACAGGTCACACGTTACATTACGTGAAACGTTTTACGAGGACAAATATTAGCAGTATCTGATTGGTCTTATTATTTCACTGTTAAATATATTTACGGTTGCACCGCTTTTGAAATTGTATCACGTAAAAGTAAACTTTCGTCTTTTTCCTATGACCCAATATGAAATATTCCGTTCATAGTGTTTAAAAGACTGCAGTTCACGAGATATCCTATCACTTAAATGATATCACAACATCTGAGAAAAGCTTTTTAAAGGGCTTTAAATGCCACTTTACTATGCTGTTCACCAATCAGCTAACCAATAGTTAGTATAAGTTATGAGTAAAAATGCCCCATTTCGCGTTTTCCATGTGTATGTGAAATCGTAGGTACACTGAATGGCCGTCAAATTTCCAAACAAAACCTATCTAATTTAGACGGTGGCACAAATAAATTGAGATGAAGTTGAAAAGTGAGGTTTTTTCTCTGATATGGGAAATGAGGCGTCGGTGGTACAGTGGTTAGGATGCTCATCAACCATGCACATTTTTGGGGATTCAATTTTCAGTCAACGCACACCTTATATCTATGGTCGGCCGACTCTATTTGAGCTACCGATATCACATGCTGAGGACTCCATAATTTTACTAAAATACCGTGTGGAATCAAGCTATAATAACAAAAACAATAAATTTTTTGAAAAATCACACAAGCTTCATATTCACTATCATATGTTTCTCAGAATTAGGCATACTTTACGAAAAAGATTTCACATACAACATTGGAGATTCAGTTTTAGTAGGCTAACTATTTCCCCTTTCGACCATACGAAAGCTGTTTCATAATTTATTCTTGTTCACTAAGACATTTCGATGAAAAACTCACTCAGTATTCACAGTGAAGAAAAATCATTGTGCTTACATAAAACTTTTTGTCTCTGCATACTGTCAGTTATTCATTTAGCTACGCCAACATTGCGTTGTTCTGCGTTTCGAGCACAGAGAAGGGGTTATAAATGCTGTTGGGTGACATTCTCATCCTCATTTGCAGAGCTGTAATCATTATCACGCTTATGAAGCATACAATCTTTACTGAGCTACCTGAACTTGGACAACAGCTCACAAGGTTATTTTAATAACGTTAAATCAGGCGGCCAGCGAATTTCGTATTTCAAGATTCATGTTAATTAGCAGCACATTTTTTGGTCATAATCATTTCAAAGTACTCACACAACTTTCTTGCTTTGTTTATATATGAGTAAAATTTGATTAGACATATGAATACAATAAATAAAAAACATGTGTGAAACAGAAAGAAAGATCAAGTGCATACGGAAACACTGAAAGTGAAATCATCAAATGTAATTTGATGAGAATTTGGACGAGTACTGTTAGCCAGTCTACTATGGAAAATAGCATTGTAATGAGATATTTATTCTACTAAAAATCCATCTCATTTCCCATCTTATTAACTAACAACACGTAATATTTCCCATCGTACTACATTTTTTAATGATAACATTTATATTACTTCCTAATGTGCTTTATCTCCTATGGTAAACTGGCTAACCGTACTCGTCCTAATTATCATCAAATGATGTTTGATGATAACACTTTCAGTGTTTCCGAATGTACTTGATCTTCCTTTCTGTTTCACACATGTCTTATATTAATTGTATTCATATGTCTAATCAATTTTTACTCATGTATATACACGAGGCAAGAAAGTTGTGTGAGTACTTTGAAATTATAATGAACAAAAATTTGTGCTTGAATCAGTAAATATTTTTGAAAAATCAATTACTCCCCAGCATATACACCATAGATTTTCCAAAACCGCCTGTTTCGCTTTTGACAAACACTGGTGGCATTTCATTTAATGATTCTTTTTTTAAATCCTCTTGCCTTTATTTTGGTCACTTGACTAATTGTTATTATGACTACTTTAATGAATAAATTACAAATTGCATCGGGAACTATTTATTGATTTGAATTGAAGGGTTGATAAGGATATAACTGAAAAACCATTTCCTGACAGCTCGATTTGTTTTCCAAATTTGATCACGTATGGAGAGTACGTATCAATTAGGAAGCAATTGTTCAGTACTCCTTGGTCCTGAATGGTTCTCAAAATGAAATCAATTATTGATAGAACCTGACTTATCTGTTGATAATTAAACACCACCACCAAAGGTGACATGAACTCACATCCAGATACATCATATGCTAGTTACTACGGTGGAGCCTAAATAACTGCCAACCTGTTTGATACTTAATGCTACATGGCATCGATAATCCATGTAGGAAATGGAGCACGTGGGTAATCTTGAGGCTGCTTGAAAATAATGGTGAGTTACCGCGTGGAATGGAGATGTGGTGCTGACGCTGGATGCACTCCAAACGGTAGCAGATATGTCGACCCTGTCTCGTGGCATTTCTAGCTACATGCACAATCGTTGTATGTCTTAACTAACCATGTGAACACACTTGTGTGCGCTACTGGTATCTTTCTAATATAAGGAGTACCCTACAGTGTCATGTGTCGCGCTCCTCATGTCGTTGAAATACTGTCTGACTCACCCGTACGATCTAAACAGAACTTTTTTCTTTTTTTTGTCATTTTAAGCATCGACTTGTCAATTTGTTTCATCTGAATGTCCAGTGAGCGAATATTAATATGGATAATTAGCCTGAAAGAATCATCTTAATTTCTTCTGGTTTCCGTTAAATAAACTTACAGCAACTGAGCTGAAAGAATGATAGCACTTATCCATGATATGAGACAAAATTCAAAGCAGAGTTTATCTCATACAGCTAGTTCATGTTTATCGATCTGAGGTAAGTTCAGCTACCAGTAGCACTGGCATACTGTTGTACACAATTATTGGTGAAGAATTTTTATATTTCATTGAACTTTGAATTCGATTTTAGATTTTTTGTCGATTGATTGAACCGATGTGCTTGGTCTCAGGTTGGCAATGAGTTTGAACCTCGGGGAGAACATAATCACTTACTGGGAAATGTAGGTGCATCCAGTTGATGAGTCCCAAATAGGACGAAATGTGCATACTGGATTCCACTGCTAGTCACCACCCACCAATTAACCTCTTACATTTAACTGCGTTCTTTGTTTTAAATGTTACCGATTCGTTTCACAACAAAAGAAATAAATCAAGGATGTCAAGTTGTCATGACACTGGATGTGAACCATTCTACTTTAAGACGAAATGTATGGCTTTTAAAGTCAGAATTCTTTTGATCGATTCTTCTCCGGGACAGACATATTACTGCTACAGCTTCTTTACAGCTGTAAGAAAATCCTGCAACAGTGCAAATTCATCCTCCAGTAGCAACTAAACTGAAGGCAAATTTCTCTTTCATGGCAAATGGATTGAGCATAACCAACTTCTTCCTAAGACATCATTCGCAATAACACCAGCAATAATCTTTGTTTTCACTTGATTATTATTCTGTGCAAGTTGACCGCTACACTATGACAACTGATGCAGATAGAATCTTTCCTAATTACTGATTTCAAAACACAAAGGAACGCGCATGTTATATTTGCGATACATAAAAAACATCAATGAAACACTTCAAAGCCATTTAAAAGTTTTTACCTCAAAATCTTCTTAATCCCTGTTACCCTCCTTCTTTTTTGAAGGTAATATCAACATGTAAATTCCTGAGAATAAGAGAGTAATGAAAATCCAGAAAAAGAACGCCTGACACATTGCAAAACAGAATGAATGTTTACTACCTACACAGTCGCGTACTGTGTTTCCAAGAAGGAATAAACCCTGTAAATAGTTAAAAATTGCAAAGCTTCATTGTAAAGCCATGTCTAACGGACTGATATAAAAAAAAACTCACTTGATATACAAATCACGATTCTGATCTTTTCATCTCAGCTGATTTACAGAAATTACGCCGAAAAGTTGAATTGTTTCAATGGTAAATATTCTTTATATTAATTGCGTAAACAAGTCTCATTATGCAGCTTTTAATGTATCACAATGAATGAGGCTACCTTGATGATGCGTCTAGTTTTCTAAATGGAAAACTGAGCGTTTCCAAACAAGAATCAAATGACTTAATTGGACATTATGATCAAGATTATACCAAAGAAATAATATGAATCTGGTTACTTTTACAAAGTGATCCCTTCTTAGCACTATAAATAATAGATGCATGCCTCGGTGGCACAGAATTGGTATGATCGCCGACCACTCATGTGGTGCAGAGTTCAATCCTCAGCCGATGCATTCCCACATATGGCTAAGCCAGTATTAGGACTGGTAAAGAAGGAAGGCTGAGTATGGGGCTAGCAAAGCAATCCCATAAAACCGAAAACCACAGCTACCGAAACTTCAAAGCTCTAGCTAGAAGCATTGCAAAATACAAGATGCGTGTTCATTTTACTGGAATATTCTATGCACCAGTGTTGAGATTAGTAAGCTCCTGACACTTTAACTTCATTAGCACTTAGAAATAGAAACCTAAGCACATGTTAAACTTCAAGGTTATCTTCTAATCTGAATTCTTCTTAGAGATGAAGTGTATAGGTCGTTCCGTATGTCGTATCCATAATCATTGTTGGTTATTGTTACATATGCTTCTAAAGTCACTAAACTTGTTTGATGAGACGAGACTAATATGGAAAAGCAATTACATTCTGTCTGAAAAGCTCAAAAGGAAATACCTGCATTCAACGAATCACAGAAACAGAAGCAGTAAGTTGCAACAAGGGAGTTTTGTTCATGAAATGAAAATTTCTAGGACCCTAGCTTACATCTCGAATGTAATCATAACATCATGACAGTCGTTTTAATTATTATCACTATCTCACACTCGTGATCATCACGTTTTTTTCATGGTTCGAATAATTCTATGGTTAACTATTATAATCTTATTTTGGTTCATCTTATTTTCATTCTGTTTGTTCTATTTCCATATCCACCGTTCATTATTTCAGCAGTGACTATTATTTCCATTCTGAGAAAATTCCGATATTATCCTACTTGTCAACTTTATTTATCTAGTTCAATGTAATCATCTTCAATGTTGCTTCATTACAATTCCCACTTCTTTCAGTGATACTTTTGCTGGCTAAGAATTATATTGAAACTACAATCGTTTTCTATGGTTTCTAAATTCCATGAACACTTTGATGAAATACATGGCATACCTGGTCACTTGTTGTCTAACTACTCACTTATTTCCTAATTTATATCAAATTGTACGGGTTGATTATCAAAATGTTGAAAAATTATGACTCCATGTCACTTTTTTTGATTTTTGCAGATGAGAAATCATCTAATAAAATGAATCGTAGATAAAAAACATCCAGTGAACTCACGAGCATTGAACCGATGCATAGACACAGTTCGCTAACGGCTTCCTAGAAGTATGTGAAGAATAAAACATAAAGTTTTGACACAGTTGAAGATATATGGTACATGAAAACTGATTTTGCTTTTCAGTGGTTTGGCTGATTTTAATAAGGATCATGATCTTACCTCAGTTGGAGAATCACTGAAATGCAGGGAATTCTGGCGTGATGTTTGTCTTAGTTTAGGAATGTCTAGAGCTTCGCATGCATGAGTCGAATCTGGAAGGTTAATAAATAAAAAAATGAAATCGGCATTCTACTAATTCTTGGTACTCGCTGGTGTTCTGAGTTATATTAGTATATGGCTAATTTTGAAGCCCTTCTATTCCTACCTACTGATGTTTGAAAATTACTTACAAAAATTTCAGGGAACTCGGAAAATCAAAACTAGATTATTCTGTTTCTAAAGCGTCCGGTTCGACTGAATCATAATAAAACAACATAGAAAATCATTGATTCGGTCTAACTAAGTGCTCAAATCATCCTAAAAAATTGGCACCGTCTTACGTTCAACCAGTTCAAATATGTTAGTTGATCGGCTGCTACCAACTGACTTCTTACATAGGGCTAAATGGCCAACTAATTTTAGGGGATTACTTTATAAGTAGCGCACATTTATCATTGAGTAACTTGGTCAGTGCTCTGTGTCTTATAGAAATTTGCGAAAGACAGGTCACATGTTGAATTCCCAAACTGTATTGCGCACACTCATTTATTTTCCGTAGATAGGATGTAATGCTTATCACCACAAAACACAAAGTGATTGTCAAATGACAAAATTCAACGGCTTCATGAAGCCCAACTGTTTCGTTATGGATTTGGGTCAATACATTCTCTTGACATTAGTGTGACCACAACGTCTCAATACATTTCTCTTCATCTGACATAAATAAAGTGCTCATTCAAAAGATTATGAAGACAATAACAACTCACAGAGAATGGAACATGCAGAGCGTAGAGAAGGATGGATAGGAGTCCTATGAATGCAATGAGCACTGCGAGGAATACGACCGCCAGAAACGCTGGCAAATCCAAACGTTTCAGATTGACAGCGATTATCATGACTGCGGCAGCTATTGCTAGAGACACATTCAAGATTATAAATATAAAGAGTGCGTAGAATCGACCAAAAACACAACAGTATGCGATGGATATGAGTAGGACCTGTGAAACCAATTGGAAACAACTAAGGGTAACTATAAATATTAGGAATAAGGTGTGTTTCATTATTACACAAAACGATATCATGTGTGGTTCTTCTGTTATGTCATATTGATATCACCAGTCTGGAATTCGCTACCAGCCGATGTGCATGAAATCTCTGGATGCACACTGAGTGAGCCTTTAAATGACATAACTTGCCAAGTTTCCTGGAGAACGTTGCATGAGAACCAGTGAGTTGCAACATTGTGAGAGATGCAGAAAAGGTCGAATGGTAAAGAACTCATAGCTTCCTCTCAGTTAAATGTGGTGGCAATGAAGGTGATCCGACTAAACTAAATGTCAGTAAAACGATTTGGCATTGTGGAATGGATCAAATAAAAGTATAATCATATTTCAGTGGTTTACACAGAATGATAGGCTTTTATTTTTGATAACATTTCGAGCAAAATTAAAGCCCATTTTCAAACCAGCTGTTAGAATATTTTTTGTTTTTCATTCACACACTTAAAAATCGCACTCACACATATAGTGCATTTTTGTTCCTTCATTTTTTATATTCAGAATTACATTCCAAGTTGTTGATAGTTGTGTTGAGTCACACTTGCTACATATGGGCTTATTAAATTTAGATTCTGTTATAAGTCTTTCATTCAATTTGTTCATTTTCTCTTTCATAATACAAACATTTTTCTAATAGATATTGTGGTTTTCTTCACATGCATGCGCAGCTGTAGATGAATCTTTGTATCGTTGTAAGCTTGTGTTCCTGTTATATGACCTTAAGTTAGGCGTTCATGTTCATTTACTCTTGTTTTGAATGATCTGGATGTTTCGCCCACATATTTAGTCGGAAACACGGCATTTTGTAAATCACATTGCTTTTATCAATCATATGTATGGAATTTTTTAGTTGATTTATCTTATTTAAATTAAATTCGTCAGTTTAAACGTTTTGTGAATCTCAATGTTGTTAATTTTTCCTCAACGTGCCTCTGATGCATCATTTTACTATGTTACTGTGATCGGTTTTCAGCATCTTCCTACTTGTCATTCTCCGGTTTTATCCTCATTCTTCTCTTCTTATACCATTATAATAAATTCATTTAGGTAATTGTTGTCTAGCAACATTTTGAATAAGGCGTTTATTTCTTAACGGTGGTCCTCTGGCGTTACGGTAAGTCTACGAATTCTATCTGCAAGACCTTGTAATAACCTTCAATTTACTCTGCGTAATTGGGAGAGCTGAGTGATGATCAAGGAATCCTTCAGATTGTGTAGCTTTTCTGTATGCTACCATCTCTTACTTTTTGTATTTTGAAGTCTAACACAGGCAGTTTCCCAATTTCATTCTCTATTTCAATAGTGAATTTATTGATTCAACATGACTGTTAACGAGAGAGAAGAATATCTCAACATCGTCCTTTTTCCTTATACTAACCTGTCTTCTACATATCTCCATCAACATTTTATTGATGACCTGAATGGTTTTAGTGCACTTTCTTCACAAACTTCCATGAACATGTCAGCTACTAATTGTGAGATGTACGGTCCCATGGAAACGTTTTCATTCTTTTGGTATATTTTTCCTGCGAATGGAAAATATATTATTGTCAGACAGATTTTCACGCCTTTTATTGTCTCTTCCACGGATAACTGGGTTCCTTCTCCAAGCCATTATCTTCTTTAAATCTCGTATTCAGTGCAATCATAGCCTTTTGTCAATGGGTTTTTTCTCGTACAGACACTGTTCACATCAAAGCTGACTAGTATTTCCTCTGCTTATATCTTAATGGGTTTAGTCGTCTCACTAATTCAAATACATCTGCTATTCTAGATTTTGAGTTGTCTTCTATCAGTCTAAGTATTGCTGAGAGAAATCTGGGCGTTAGGGCGTTTCTAAAGTCTACAATCGGTCTTATTGAATGTCCTTCTTTGTGCCGTTTTATCTTGGCATATATCCCAGGTATATTGCATGATTTTAGTTATTTGTATAACAGTTGTCCTTTTTGAGATCAGTTTCTGTCGTTCCTTCGATAAACGTGAAGCGTATGACGGCAATAATTCCTTCGTGTTGCTTTTCTTGTTTAAGATATTATTGATTTATTTCCCAAAACTTAATGTGTGGATAAAATATTAGTTTCATCCATCTTGTCAACGCGCTATATACACATCTTCCTCACACTATCTAGTGACTGGATGAATAAGATCTCATGTCATTTTTCAGCAGTCACACTACGCACACCGATAACAAAGCGACAGTGTCTGAGCTTGGTTGGTTGGTTTACTCTGTTCACTTGAAGCAACGGTAAACGCCTTCGTTTGATTTCGGGGAGGCCCAAAGTGTGTATTATTGCAGAGTACTAAATCAGACTATCAAGTTTTCCTTAGCTGCCATACACGCAGTACATGATATTTAATTACGATCTCACCTAGAGACATTAGCTGTTTTACTGTTTCGTTTTTTCAGAGAATAAAGTAAAAGAAAACTTGTTAAATAACATCGATAAAATGCACTCCAGCGTCAGTCTGAATATTCGTGAAAAAATATTGTGAGGTAGATGACAGCCACTGATCACTTTTACATTGATTAAACATTATTGAAGACAAAACTGTGACCTGTTGAATGTAGTCTACCAGTGTCAGTCACTGGCAGAACATGTTTTCTCAGATAAAGTTACATGTTTCACATACATATCACAAATTTTGGAAGATAGGAGAGAGATATTCGGGGCACTTTTTTCTTCATTACCACCTCGATGATGTGAAAACAACTTCTAAATAATGCCGTTATATGAGGATGACTATTGATCACATTATTCTGACTAATCATTTCATTCTCAGTTGCATATGTTATTATATCATTGTCATAACTACATACAGACATGTAACAAGGAATAATTTTTAACTGAGTTTATCTGTGTAACCCCGCAAAAATGTCAAGGAAAGCCTTCGATATTGTATATCTATGATAAATTTTGAAAACGTAATGGTCAAGTCATACATAAACATGTTTAAACGCATCTTTCCTATGTGAACATTTATACATACATGGTGTAATACACACAATAATTGCAAGTATTATTCATATCAGCATTCTACAACCAAAAAGAATACTTACGATTAGTCCATAGTCAATATGTGAATACCAAAAGTTTTCCTGAATTATCTTGAGCCCAAACGTGAAGACAAACAGAGCGGCAGCAAACAAGCTAAATGAAAAAATGTTGGGTATAATTCATACCTTTTCAAAGTACAATCATCAGAATTTATAAACTGGAAAAATAATCACCAACCCCAATATGCTTTAAAAGAAACAGTGACAAATTGGAACAACTGACTTACACAATTCCCAATATGACTACGATATTTTTACAGAAATACTCTTGAAGAATACTTCTTTATGGGATCATATTGAATGAATAATTTCAATCTTACATGTTGCTTATTATAATCATGACTGCCAACATGATTATTATCAAATATGTCACATCAATTCCGACCTAAATGTTGATTTTTGTGTAAATAAATAAAAAGAGTTTCCTTACCCATGTGATGTATTCTTTGAATGTGCCTTCCCTCGGTCTCAAACTCAAACTCATGGAAGTCGTATCAATTATTGTTTCCTTGTTGAAAGAGTTTTCCACGATTTGCGTAATTCGTCTGAATACAATTATTGAAGGCGTTTCTCACACTCGACGATGAACAGTAAAAGATGGTTAATGTGACAGTTTCCTCAATATCAAATTTTTTTCTAATTAATGAAGTCTTAAATTTAAACTTTACTGTAATGTCCTTCGCCTGAAAAATTATGGAACTTAATATTTACTTTTTTTACAGGGAGTTATATTCAGTGGACAGTTCAAATTTAGTTAGTGTCAGAGGAACGAGACAACCTTTAGGCTACACATATTTGATGGCTAATTCCTGTTTCTACAGTCTGATGAAATTTTCAAGATCTCGCACTCATTTCAGCTGTCAATCACTATATTTACATGACCTTTGCCCATAAGTAAACAGCAGTAATGGCCACAGTTTAAAGTAGCATTTAGTCGAATTTATTTGTGTTTGAGTGGGACATTATGTGCTTGTGTGTAAAGATAATGACTGTCATACAGGGATGAAATTCTAACTGCTGATTAGTAATCAGCAGTCCTATCATCATAGCCAGCAATAAAGTGTATACATTCCAATGGCTAGGATTGATCTCAATTTCCCTCAACTATCTAGCCATGTCAATGAAACGCAATCACACTAAGACCAAAGAATTTGATACCACAAAGTAAATGACTATTATTTGACTGAGATCAAGATTGAAAACTTTGGATTATTACAATATATTTTGACCGATACGTTCATCTTAGTGTCATCTAAGATCAGAGTATGGGAAAGTAATGAAACAAAGTTTCACAATTGACTGATTGATGAAATTTACGAAAATTCTACGTTGTGTGTGTGTGCGCGCGTCTGCATAACCGAGATTATTTGTCTAATTAGTCGTCTCGGGGTAATCTTCTGAGTGTTTTCAGTTCATTCAAAATTGTGTCGTCAATATGCAGTAAAATGTTCAGTGAAAATATTCGGATAACTTACATGTCACCAACTATGTAGTTAAAATTAGCTCAGTTACTCAATTCAATCCTTTTATAGAGATTTGTAGACAGTTATTCGTTTTGTGTAATTTAAAACGTGTGGTGTACTTTGTTCAGGTGAATATTTTAAGCCATAAAATGGTTTATAATAATAAGGCGGAAGAATAAAAGAGTTAAGATGACACTCTGGTCTATAACAGAAGTCAATTTCGAGGGTTTTACCTTAAGGTACTTCAAAGTTAAACTGCACAAAAATTTATAATGATAATAATCACAGTTATTGTAGAATGTTTTGATACTTCGGCATGCATATTTCACCAATAAATACGAAAAGGAAAACCTGCACTTTATTACATGTTTAAACATAAGTTTTATGTCTAATTCGTTGAAAAATTTAAGATTTACAAATGTCAATGATGACAAGTTCACATGAATCTTCTCGAGGAGAAGAAAACAATTTACATAAAGAAAAACAGCAAGCCTTTAAATATCTAAAAATTTGAAACTTCTCAAATTTTCACCGATAGTCTAAAATGCCCAGAGGAGGGTTTCTAATTGTTATGTACTAGTCGAGTAATTAATAGTCCTGAGGGAAGAAGGCCGAAATCAGAAGACCACCAGGTTCACGATGATACTTGTATTTTTCAAACACAAGGAAAAATCAATGTCACACAAGTGTGTGAGTGAAAAAGTATGAATGTCTGAACAAGTGTGTGAACACAAGTGTATGAGCGAATGTTCAAAATGAACGAATCAATGGACAACCTTAACATGATTGTTAATTATAATGGAATATCGATCCATATAAACGTAGCAAAATATAACAGACTGTCAAACAAACACACGTATTATATGGATATATATCACTAATACATCCACTTCTCGATGTGACTACGTCACTTTACAGATCCATAACTAAGAGCCGTTTTGAAGCTCCTCAGGAAGATGATGGGGAATTTCTGAATTTAATGAATGAGATAAACGAAAGTGGCACAACTATGGCCTCAATATATGTTTTCTTCTTTTCTTTTTCCATAGGTATTCTTCCTAGAGAAATGGTGTTTTATTGATGTGATTATTATCAATAAATTGCAGTTAAACTTTCATCCCTTTAGTTATTTCTTAATTAATAAAACTTCCATGTGTATCAAATAAATTACACTGATCTAATACTGAATTACACTCAATCAAGGTTTCGAATTCTGTACAGAAATACTGTGCAATTTATGTAGATATACTGATCCTAATAACTCAAACTTTTGAACGCCTTTTGAGTATGCTGAGGAGCTAACGTGGAGATTTACAGTAGATTTTCAACCTCCAGTCGGTGGTAAAATGTACAGACAGAAGGTATCAAGTACTCTGAAACCCCCTTTGACTCAGTTGGAAGCCTTTGATATTATGAAGAAGTCGTCTGAATGTCATGATTAGTATTCATTCTAAAACCTTGATCCACCTACAAATCTGTAAGGTTTATTAATATACCAAATAGGGTCTGAAGTGGATTAGGTAGGATCATTTGCATTCGGACAGTTTTTACCTCATTGACTGATTAAATACAAATTTCTTACAGTTAAACTCTCATTTTTTGAATTCCTGCATTCAGCTAATAATCCTATGCTCTCAAATACTGTTCACAAGATGAAATCACAGTCAGCATATGCACTCGAAAAACTGAAGGTAAAGTTATAAACAAAGAAAATGAAATATTGAGGGATACTCTTGTTGAAAACGGATATCCTCTAAAATGTTTAAAAAGGTGTAAAATTCAATTGGTCTTTAAACTACAATCTATACCGGCTTTGATAAAAATGCAAAATAAGCAGTAAGATTTTGAGACAAAGATTGATATCGACCATCCGTAGAATCTACTATGCATCCTAGCTTGTAATTATCGAAAAAGCCACAAATATGTACCACTGCATACCTCAAAAGTGCATACACACACCACACCCCACACTATTCACCAATTCTCGTGTGTGTCCGCACACACAAACACAGGGAGGAGTTATCGCACTTTGCATGTGAGGGTGAGAGAGCATATCGCAAAATGGTTGGAAAAACCAATGAATTGTGAAAAACCAATACATGCAGGTATTAGACTACCAACGTCGTCTATAGCTAAACATCTAATCGAGATAAACCATAAGATTGATGATAACTCAGCCTTTAAGGTCATCTATAAAAACGATCAACGGCGCTTATTGAAATACACTGAGGCTATAGATATTCATAAACTTAAGCCTGCCCTGTGTATTTAGAAACAGTTTTTAATTACTCTTAACCTACCTTGTTAATCCTTATTGATTGTATTACCAAACGTTGTGTTAACCATTCTTAAATATTTTTTGTCACTTTGTTTAGTTTAACTTATATATATATATATATATATCGACTTGACAAGTAAATGTGTGATCAGATCGTTCGAAATGTATAGCATAAATACATCACATTTTTCAGATAATCTCCGTCTCCTAATGATGCTATTCAAATTTACAAAAGTGACTAATCGTTTTAGATTCCTCCTTTGTACTTTTCAACCTTTCTTCCTAGTGTTCCACCTTAATGCATTTAATCGCTAATAATGTCACACCAACTTATGACTTTAGCTTAACACTTATGTCCTCTGATTTAATTCTGGATTAAATTATTCCCATAGATTCATTCACATTATCTGAATTCTTGTCTGTAAATTTCCAGATGACAGGCGAACTACATGGTGCCTGCTAAATAGTCAATGCTATAGAAACGTGAATTCGTCCTTGCCCTGATGGACGGAACAGACTTTTTTCAACGAACGCAGTTTGTGTTTGAGTGAATCAGTGGGTTAAAATGCCACTTATTTTCCTACCATGTAAATATCGCGAACAAAGTTTCAGTTATTCATTATCTGTATAATAGCACAATAAGTATTTTTCATCGTCTCATTCTGATGCTTCCGACCCAATGCCTCTATGTTACACCTATCGGTAATTTCACACTTTTCCTAATAATCTTCCGTACAATTTCGGATAGTTTTATCGTGAAAATAGCTAATTTACACGTCTTAACTCCTGCCGTACATTTTAAAACGCAGAGGCAAATTGTGCCTTGCCCATCAACAATTCAATGTCTAATCAATATTTCTTTATACTCTTATATAATACTGGTAATTTGGCATTTACGTACCTACGCCTTAAACTGAATGTGAGATCAAACGTCTCATGAGGTCTCCGCTCAAGGGTTTATATCGTCCATAATTAAATGTATGGAATATCCTTTGAAAGTGTCGATAAAATTGACAGATAATGTCGTATTATTTCAGAACTCGAGAATAACTGGAAAGTAAATGCCTAGACCTCGAAAGATGCTTCAGGTGAGCGTCATTATTGAAAAGTTACTTTGATGAACGTTTCCGAAGTGATTTATGGAATGTAAGCGGAAACGCCTAGTATATTTAAATTTATTCAATCGTAAATCCTGTTTAAGATGAAGGAACTGTAGACCCGACGTCATTTATGTAAATGATTGCTGAATCTACAATTTTCAGGTATCTGAGCTACAGCATTTCGGCAAAATATTCCACGTTCCATACAGTGACGCCAGTGTAATCGATAGATACGACGTGTCTTCTGTTTTGTGAAAATTATATTTTTACTTTAAAATGTCATGACGAACTGGAAACTAATCACATACTGAGTATACTTCTGTATTTTTATAAAGATTCTGATGACCTATTACCGAGTGGAAGTCACATGATGCTTCTTGCTAGTACTTTACTGATTTGAATAGTATAGGCATTCCTAGCCTCAAACACAATGCTCGAATTATTGTTGAGCCATAAAGTATACTGTAGCAGACTCATAATTTCATCCTATTTTTCGTCATGAAAATTTATTCAAATATTAGAAAATTATTGGGATTAATTTTTTCAAACGGTAAGTTTGAAATAGCATGAATAAGTTTCAAGTCTCATTACGGACTGATATCACTTAGAGTACCGTTGTAAACAACATAGTACTGTAATAATG